CACTCACACAATACGACGTCCCATCAGCTGCTTCTACTCTCTCACTATGCCATGTGGTGCACACGATACTGGGCGTCAGCCATAATATCTTGGAGATGGCGAGGGCATGGCTGTGTCCCTTCTTATGGTTAGAATATGACGTCGGGGTGTTCTTCATGGGATACCTCCGTTTGAGATTTTCAATTGTTATGCTTTTGCTAGGTGAACATATCATTGCAGTTATTCCAGGAAGACAGTATCCCGCCGTCACGGATATAGGATGGGATGAGGTGCAGATGCTCACGTGATAATCTGAAAATCCTTTGGGAATTTCATAACCGGGAAACTAAAAGCAATATGAACTATTACAGTATTACAGTATTACAAGCTGTTTCCATTTCATCAATGTCACCTACAACGATGAACGCAAAACACTGGCAATAAAAGACAAGAACTCTCCGGAAAAAGAAGAAAAGTGAGCTCTGTTCAAGGGAAAGCATTAGTTTCGTAGGTCCCGACACGATCTCCTGTCTTCCTGCACGTACAAGTAAAGCGTGATGGGTGTCAAACGAGGTGCGCGTCCTTGTCCTTTTTGAGAAGCCTTGCGTTGTCGCTCCCTAACCAGTATATCATATAGCAATGAAAATTACGCTTTGTAAAAGTGACGAATAATGAAGCAAGCTAAAAAGAAGCTGTGTAGTTGTTTTCACGGCGATTTGCAAGAAGTTGAGGACTTGGTAGCGCTGATTCCGAGCAAGTTGAACGACAGCCAGTTGCCGGACACATTTCTGGATCTGAAACCCTTGGCAGTACACGGAGTGCCCCGCATTTGTGTACTTCCATTGTTCGCATTGAAAAAAAGAGTACGCGCGGCATCAGTCGATCAGAACTCTGGGCATTTAAGGGGGTCCAAGGGAGGAATAGATAGGATGGAATGATGGGAGGAATAGTAGGAAGAGAGAGAAGAGAAAATTTGCGTTGGCAGGTGTCCTGAGACGAGCAAGAGTAAGGGAAGCAAACTTTCTGGCGTTCTTCTATGCTTCAGTGGCTCCTAGTATGAACGCACCCTAAGTGAGAAGGTACAGGCATTAGGGTAACTAGGGATAGATAAAGACTTTCCCTCGAGTAGAGTTGTGTTGGTAGCGCGAGAGTGTCTGGGAAAACCAGCGCGATTCGAGCAGTGGCAAAACAGAATTGGTGTACTTCAAGGTGTGCTCAACCCGCAGAATAAGGCTCCCTTAGGGGACAACACTTTCGCCCGCCGCTCGGCCGGTGCTGGAAAACGCGGATATAGCCGGTCTAGATCGGCGACTCATGCAGCGACAAGAAGTTGATACTGAGAATCAGGGCAGTGTGCAGTATTGAGCTCGGATCGACCAGTAGCAGACGATTTGAGGGGATCGTATTTTCTCCTCAGAGCAGGGTGTGTTTTGTTGACGACATAAACTTAGTTAAAGTGGCCGTGCAGCAGCTAGAAAGAGCCACCCTTTCTCTTCCAGTCGCGCACCCACCAGTTGTAATGGTGTGTTAGCGAAATGAATTCCTGCTTGCCTAGCTGGTTTAGCCCGTTCGAGACGCAGACGAGCAGGAATGGGCGCGGGCACCGGCTGAACACGCCGCGTCAAGCTATTTTTGAGCAGCCTTCTGCCATCAAGTTACTCTTGGAAGTACATGACTTTACATTATCAATAGCATGTATAATAATAACGTGTTCTTAATTCCAATTTACTTTGCGAGGGAGAATTCGAAAACAATTGTATTGCCAACACAACAACATTTAAAAGCCCTGTACATGAAGTTATTGCCATACAAAGCATCTAGACTATAGGCGCGTACTGACGGGACCATCCTCAAAACACTCTGATAGTTAAGTTATTCAAAGTATATAACAGAAATACAGTTAGCCAGATGTACTGGAGGGCTGCGGTCACAGTCAGTGAACGAGTAGACGGCTACTTCACAGAGATCAAAACAAAGGTCTAATCCGCACCGTTCGACTTAGGCGGGGGGGGAGACAATTGCAATTTCGGGTTGTTTCCGTTGCTATTCCAGTTAAATTACACATTCCACCTCAGAAATACCTGTAGACTCTTGTCAAAAATCAACAAAATTTATGCTACTGCCCACCTTTACGGGTGCTAACAGATCTCCAGCATGCATGCAATTAGCAATCGATGCGAACCAGCAGAAATGCTCGCACTACGTCGAACTTCGCTTTTCTAAAATCTAATCTGCATCGCCTGGATTCAGATTTGATTCGATGCGATGTGGCTAAATGGATAGGCCACGGAGAACTTCAATAAATTAGCTACTAACACATTTTAGGGCAGTGGAGTGCTCTTCATAATTCAATGCATTCACTTACACAACGAATAATTAGGATATTGATGATAAACTTGAAACTGCGTTCATGCTTCGCGAAATCGGCGCAGTCGCGCCGACTCGAACGATCTATAATCCAGCGCGTTCCATCGCTAATCACACAATCGCTGAGTCGTCGACCGACTGAATCGCCGGTATGGTAAGTATGAACACGATGCTCCCACACAAGCAACAAACTAAGTACTGTTCACAGTTCAGGACCTGCTCATGTTCAAATCCATCCACAATCTTATCCATTTCGAAAGCAAATGAGCGAATTGATCTTCCTCGAGTCTAGCTTTATAGGTAGCGTCAAGAGTTCTGGAGACCTGCTTCGAAGACCGGGAAATTCCTTCTGTAAACTGCCATAGCCGATTCACATATCACAATATACGTGAGCATGGCATCAGAACACACTTACCTCTAGTCGCTTACACACGATTACTTAGCTTGCTCTTCTTTGTATACTTACAAAGACAAGGTGCCAGCTCCAAAATACCTGTAAAGACTTGCTTTTTAATGATTACTAGGTAGAATAAACGTAATCATAGAAACAAAAATCTATTTCCCACCTCCAATTACCATTTTTTTAACAAATAAATTGCAGTGAGCACAGTCGCGATGGGTTTTCTGAGAAAACCGGGGTGAAGGTAGAATTATTCTTGACGACGAAGAGGAGAGCACAAAACCGTCAAAACTTCAGAGATCCTTAAGACAAAGCCCAGTTTTGTATGAGTATTCGAGGAAGCGAGATACTGCTGCGCGGCTGAGAAACCAGAGACACGATCAGAAAACAGGAAGACGAGGTATCACAGGTCGATCCCAGATCCCATAGAGAATCAAGGTGACGCGTCACACCTGCGTTTGTAGACATCTCGCCCGCAGATGGGTGGAGCAACTTCTAAAACTTCTAAGAAAAACGTGCCCATTTCGCCCTATTCCCCTCCCCCCCCCCCCATCGTGGAGCTACGAAAGTTGGAAAATTCTCTGAGAAGGCGCATCGAACCATTTGTATAAGGAAGAGCTGACCACCTGGAGCGTCTCACCTGAGAATGTGTCCTCAGTAGGGTGGTTTAAACAAGAACCTCTAAGACGTCACAAGAAAGAAGTTGGTATGTGCAAGACGACACTCACGCGTCAGTGTGTAGAAACTGAGGTTCCAGAGATTCGGCGACAAAACAGCAAGAAGTGGAATGGGCCTGCCTACTGAAGTTTCCAAAAAATCTGCGGTCCTATGTCAATCACTCCCCACTCAGTTCTCTGTTGCCGACTCTCCCGTATCGCGGAATCCCCGTACTCGCGAAGTAACACAGTCAAGTGTGATAAAACAGAAAAGATTTAAAAAAGAAATTCACCAGGTAACCCAAAAGTCAAAATGTCGGAAGATCTCTCCCGAAAACATTCGCTAATGACATTCTCCAACACGATACGCAGTGGATTTTTACATAATTTCTTGACGACTCCAATTTTGCAGATAGAAGAAGGTATCTGAGTAAATTTAGTGAGACATAGAATGACTCATCTTCGATAAAAACGATGAAAACGGAAAAGGTTAACAAAACAATAAAACAAAAAAATAGAGATTAATAGAACAACTTTCTGTGACACTCACCAACATGATGACGATTGCAGCGTTCAAATATATTTCTCAAATGACACGTTCAGAAAAAAGGTGACCCGTCTAGCCTCAACCCAATACTATGAAGCCTGCAAATATGAAAACTGAACACGCTGATGTAGTATAGTACAGGCACACAATCCAGTGGATTACGGGTGCTAACGTATTTGGGGGGGGGGGGGGGGACCACGCGGCTCGCGGCGTGCGATGACTCATCTGCTCTTCTGCTCCCTCCTCGGCAAAATAGAAGTAATTTTGTGTTTAGGACATGGATATAACACCGACCTAGCTATACATTAACGCTAAAAAGTCCGAAGAAACAGTTGTGGGG